CAAACACACACGCAAATGGGGGGGGGAGGGGGGGCCGTGAGTCTGCAAGCTGGGCGGTGGGCCTGCAGTGTCCGGATTACATGAGTACTCTACACAGTGGACACCTGCAGCTCTGCTAGAGTTCACTGGATATGAGGGCCAGCAGCAGGAGTGAGTGAAAGGAAAAATTTTTTTTTTCATCTGCAGTTTTTATTCTATGTACCACTGCTTGTTTCTATGGTATGGAAGTATGGCCACTTTTTATTGAAAAAATTAAACCAATTGCTGCTGTTTCAGCTTCCCGTTCTGTCCCTCATATTAAGCCTGTCCTACTCAACCAGGCAGCTCGTTTTAAATTATTAAAAATTACTCAGTTCAATGAAGGCTGCTTAAATATTGTATCGTTCAATTTGTCACTATCTCAGATTTTTCTCTGTAGCAAAATGTTGAGCCGTTGCTGTTTACACCCTTCTAATAGGTGCATAATCGGGGATTGTGTGGGTTTGAAACAGGAAATGGAATCTCCCTGACCTTGTGGCTCCGGGGCCTGCATCCAATCAGCAGAGTTTTTCAATGAGATCTTCCACTGGATCTTGGAGCTTATTGGGAAGTAAAAGCCTCTGGTTTTCTGCCCCCTGGTGTCTGGGGAGGATGCAGGTCCGGAGTAGTTACAGACAGAAGGGTGACAGACATGCATATCTGCTCAGTTTACAAACATTACATGCAGACATTGTGCCTCAGTTGCCACAGATTTGGTTCAGGACAAAGTAAAATACTTAATTATAAATGGTCAAGACCCTGAGACATAGTTAAATTTTTCTTCAAACGTTTGAACATGTGATTCATATTAATGTCCTGTTGCTAATTAGAATCTAATTGCATTAAGCACAATCTGCAGTGGCTTGTAGTGTTTGATTTCCCAAGGTTATGCCCTTAAGATCTTGTTTAAAGGTACTGCAGGAGCTGTTCAGTGTCATTCAAGCCTTTAGGTTATAAGTTCAGCTCCTAATTACGTCATCTTCATAAAATTATAAATCCACTTTTGGGCAGTTTGAACAACTACTGTATTTCCCATCGCTGGAGCTCAGAGCTGGAAAGTGCGGCTGTAAGATGTACAGTAACCACTGTTCTTAGATCAGTGTAAAGTTACTGCCAAGTTCTGCTGGAAAGTATAACTGTCAACCACAGAGTAACCACTGTTCTCAGACTAGTATTTATCACCGGGCTGCACCGAAATCTGCATTAGGTCTGTCTTTGCGAACTACTGTGTCTTCAGAGAGAGGCAGTTGCAGACATTTGCAAAATGGAATCCATCCACTGCTAGTATCTATCAAATTAGTATTTATCAATAGTATTTATCAAATTGTCTCAAATATAAATATTCAGACACTAATTTTATATCTGTTTTCGTTCAATTTGAATCCCATACGACCTGTTTTTAAATGTTTTGTGTTCTGGGGTTTGCTAACAATTTGGGAAAATATAAATTTGTTGTAATTTGAGCCAGCAAACCAGCAGCACGGAACCAGTCCTCTGCAACTGCGAAGAACGGCGATTACTCAACGCACAGTCAAGGCTGGGAGGGGGAAGGGTGACCACTTGTTCAAGCAGCCATCAGGTGATGTGGTCGGTGAGGTGGAAGGTCCCAATTTGCAGTTCTGTCCCCGTTGATGAAGGCTCTGGACTTAAGGGCTTGCGCTCAATGCCGGCATTGTGTGGTATCCAAAAAAAGAGGTTAGGTAACGTTTGAGCGTGTTCCAGTAATAACAAGCATTTCTTTTTGCGGACTCCATGATTGTGTGCTTTTCTTCAGCGTAATTTATCCTACGCATTTTTTTAGCCCGGGGAACCAGTGAGCCTGTGATATCCCTCTGACCACCGATATTTGGAAATGAGGTTAGAAAGATCACTCTTCCGATGGTTTTTGTGAAACAAGGAAATAAGCTGCAATGTCTGCCCCATTGTGGAGCTGGCTGTAAAAGTAAGTCACCCCTTTTCCCTTTGCGTTCCGATACAGCTCATTTCATAAATCATAAATTAACAACAATGTGAGTGAGACTCTGTGAAGTGTAGACCCCCCCCCCCCAAAAAAAAAAAAAAAAACACATTTGTGAAACAACCTACCAAACATGTTCAGTGCCAAAGTTACTTATCTGGGATCTGAAAGGTTGAGTGTTATCATGTTTTTTTTTTGCTGCTCTCTAATTCAAAAAGTATGTTGAAAACCATGCAGGTTACTCAACCGTCTACTAGGCTACGGTGTCCGTGGCAATGATAGCTATGCCCTGGAGAGCCTATAAATACATTTTCTGGCAATGTGTGACTCGTTATAAGGTCAGGGGTCAATGTGTGAACTTCCTGGAGAGGAAAGTAGCATGGGCGTCTGTCTGTCTGGACTCCTGCACAAACTTGGCACTTAGGGGAAACCCCCGCAGGACCAAGTTCGCCTTGCAGCGACACACCACATACAGCTTAACTGAAGCATCAGCAGACCTGGGCCAGTGGGGACAGGCAGGCCCGCTGGTTCTACCTCACTGGGTAGGGCGGAAGTTGATAGCCAGTCTGTGACTGTAATGTCCGCCACCGGTGTGTGAATGTGTGTTGTGAATGGGTGAATGTGAGGCATAGATTGTAAAGCGCTTTGGTACTCGTAAGAGTAGTAAAAATCGCTATATAAATGCAGTCCATTTACCATTTTACCATTTAAATAGATGCCATGGACAGGTAAAGATGCCCATTAGGATTCATTAAGCTGCTCACTCTTGGGTTTAACTGAAGTGGCTAGTCATAGAATTTCATAAAATCACTATTTGTTATAATCAGAGATGGATAGTTCAGGTCGAGAAAGTACAAATCCAGACCAGGATTTTCAACCAACCAGTTGCGTATAAAGATTCATAGTCAAAGAGTACTTTGTACTGCTTGATTGAAACAAAATTGTGGTCTGGATATTTACTTTCTGCCTCTGAACTATACACCTCTGGTTATAATCTTTATATTTCCTGTATTTATTTTCCCTGTTGTACGCTGGTGAAAATAGCTTTCAAATCACATTGTTGGTGGCATTGGAGCAGGAAATCACTGCCAGCTTTTGACCAATGGAAAGTGCTCATTAGACCCCTCCCACCTTGGGTTTTGACGGCTTGTTTCTCCTACCGCAACTGTTGTTGTAATTTTTAATGCGTTTTTGTGTTTAAGTAAACAGAGGAAAAACGTTCAGGGGCTGTGAGTGGCTCAGCAAGCCAAGTCTCTGTGCCGGTGATTAGAAGACACCAATTCATACCCCATCTTTGGCAGAACAGTTCAATGTCTGTGGCCCCTTGAACAAGGCCCCTAACCCCCAGCTTCAGGGGCGCCGCACATCGGCCGACCCTGTGCTGCGAACCCCAAGCTACAGAGCGCAAGATGGGGTAGACGAAGAGAAGCATTCCAGTGTACAAATAAAGGATTTATTTATTTATATTCTCTGGGGAAGGAAAACAGCTGCATGTTAGCTGTCATTTGTGAGAATTCATTGTAGAGTGTGTAGGGCTGCTGGACGCTGCTATCCAGGGACATGCTGTGTGTAGCTAACTTCAGGGAAGCTGGTGTCTGATGTCATTGGCCAGCAGAGCAATGCCATCCCTTTGCTCTGTAGGCTGCCGCCTCTGTACTGAAATCCAGGAGGTCACATGATCACAGCCCTTAACCACAACGCTAATGAATGAACATATATGATCTTTTACCGAGTCAGCTTATTCCGCTTGGTATTGTTTCAGTTCCTTTTAATGGAAGACCTATCAGTTCTGCCTGTTTCTTGTGGACTTCTGTAGCCTCTTGAGAAGCAGATGTTTCTGATTATGACGACAGAGCTTCCTCTGGGGCACCTTTCACACAGATCTGCACAGAAACCAACAACAAAGAAATTAGCAACACAACAAGCAGACAAACAGCAGTGGAAATTGACACCGTTTCTTAGAGTGATAGACTTTGGGGTCACTGATTGCCAGCAAGCAGGTGGTTTAGAGGTTAATGAGTTTTAGGCTCTCATACTATGATGTGTTGTGCCTTGAGCAATGTATTTAGCAGATGATAGTTGACCTGCATTGCTATACTGATGTTGGGTGAGAGAGATGTTATGGTCAAGGGTCATGAGGCTTGAGGTCAGGTGACTTGATTGCCAACCATTTGTGAACTACCCCCGCCCCAACCCCCCCCCCCCCCCCCCCCCCCCCCCCCCAACCAAATCCATCAATGTTTACCCTGGTAAGACACAGACATGACCCGTGTTCTCAGAGGAAGTCTGGGATCAGTGGTGTCTAAAAGGGTATGGGTACATGTGATCTTCCTAAGTGGTCTCTGCCATCGTCTTGCCGGCCTTGTTAGAGAAACAGCAGTGCACTTAATTGGCAGGGGAAGGTTCCTAGACGTCTGTGTTTTTTTTTTTTTTAATGTTGTGATATGTTTACGTGTGCGTGTGATACATACAGTATGTGTCACAGTGATGCTGGAATTTCCACGAGGAACTCCATAAGTGTTGTTTTTGTTGTGTGCAGGTGTTTTGTTTGTGCTCAAGAGCCGAATTTAGGGCGGATCAGCGTGTGAGGAGGGAGCAGATCGTTCCAGGTTTTCTAAAGACACTTTTGGGTGTGTAATACTAAAGAGTTTGGATCCAGAACTAAAGCAATGCCGGCTTTTGGGGGTCAAGCAGATGTTGCTTTTAAGTCGGATGGACAGTATGGTGCGGTGTTTACATGTTCTTTGTTATTCTCTGGTGTCCTTAAACAGTCCAAAGACACATTTCAAAAGAGTTATAGATTCTGATTTGCCAAAGCGTAGCCAGTCTTATATGCCCTTATCGCTCAGGCTGACCTTCTAACCTGTCAACTACAGATGAGCATTTACTAGAGACTGGTTAGTGGAGCCGTATGAGGTGAACTTCGACGTTCTTCTCAGATGTCCAGCCTCAGCCTCTGTGTTTTGTTGCTCGATCTGCTGGCGATCAACATCTGTGGTTCATAGTTTTTCTGTTTCTTCCCCAGAACTCAATGAACCTCCCACCAGACAAAGCGAGACTGCTACGTCAGTATGACAACGAGAAGAAATGGGAGCTCATCTGCGATCAGGTGAGGACCTGTCTTCACCTTTTCTGCAAGTATCAGGATTACACTCAGCAGGAACCTCACTCAAGCACTAAAGGAGAATCACAGCTCATACAAAGGAGCATCGCAGAACTCTAGCCTGCCCCCTGATGGTAGTCCTCTGAGGGCCTCCTTGTCTTTTTTGTTGCAACTCTTGAATTCATGTCAGTTCATTCACAGAACCAGATGAGGTTTGGAAAAGTTCATGTGTATATAATGTGGAAAAAATTAAGAGATCACTCATTTTTAAACATCTGCATTTTAAAATCCTGGTTTAATCGTTGTTCTGCTGGCAGAAGGCTACACTGAGCAGCAGGTTGCTTCAGGGTTCAAAATTTCTAAAAGAGCATTACACAAGAATAAGGTGAAGCAGGAAACACTGAGAACAACCAGAAACCAGCCAGGTAAAAGGAGGTAGCAGCTTTCTAATGCCAGAGATGACTGTCAACTTATCTGACAGTGTATCAAGAATCAGAAGATGACATCAAGTGACCTTCAAAAAGAACAGGAAACATTAAGTGCAGGTGTGAGGTTCACTGCTAGGACAGTTCGTATCAGGCTCCTAGAAGCGGGACTGAAAGTCCAAGAAAGCGAGAGACGTTTACTCTGCTAATATATATATATGCTCTGCTAGTGTGTGTGTGTGTGTGTGTGTGTGTGTGTGTGTGTGTGTGTGTGTGTATATATACGTACATACACACACTTTCACAGTCAAATTTCAGCTATACTCTCGCCATTTAGTCAGCATTTTTTTCAGAATGGTCCAACATTTAATTCATAATAAGCCGCGATGCTGTGTGAAATTTTATTGGGCCAAATATATTCACTATCCATTACTGTGCCGTCATGATTTTACATTACGTACGACATTTTCACCGTGGCGTTTCCATGACTCAAGTTTTAGTCTTATTAATAGCCTGCCAGACACAGCCAAGTAACCAAGGCAAAAAAAAAAAACGTCCTCACGGTGAGAATGCTGAAGGTAGAACAAAGACGACAGAGTACCACCATACCGCAAACTAGCGATTTTTTATCCCGTTGTGAAGTACGCAAGTCGTGCCCGAGCCGCATCCGTGCTGATATGCTCCTGCTTACGAGCCAAAAGCGTGACCAAAGCGAGCGGCTTGCATAGCCACCATCTGAATGATCAAAATACATGGAGATACCGGTGTTCTACGCATGGATTGTCTAAAGGAAAAGACGTATATGCTATGCATCATTAGTAGTATCGCACATCGCGATGCATTCCCAAAACTCAGAACCTGAAAATTTCCAACCTCCTACTTGAAGTTAAAGTACTATAGAACAGCTGAATGGAATGGATTCATAATGCAAATTTAAGCAAGCAAATGCTAATTCCACTAGCGTTTGATACGTGCATTTCAAGGTGGCTATCACAAACATGCTAGCAGAAATTAGCACATAGTAAAAAAATAAATCAATAATAATTGCACACAGTAAATCAAAATCATGATGTACATCTTGTGAACAGTAAATAAGCGTCTCTTCGGTTTTATGTCACCGTCTCTCTCCATACCTAGTGTCACCTTTATCAAACCCCTCTGCAGTGGAAAACCGACGTGAGCTGGAACCACTTGAGTATGGCTCGGGTACGGGTCAGTTCCTGAATGCCAGTGGAAAACCAAAGCAAGCTGGAACTGTGCTGTAGCTAGTGTCTCTTTGCAGTATGGCTCAGGTACAGGTCAGTTCCTGAATGCCAGTGGAAAACCAAAGCGACCTGGAACCGCTTTAGTATGTCTCCGGTATGTATCAGTTCCTGTATGCCAGTGGAAAATCGAAGCAAGCTGGAACTGTAGCTATTCTCTCTTCACAGTATGGCTCGGGTACGGGTCAGTTCCTGAATACCAATGGAAAAGCAGCATTTGTGTCATGTTGTTCCCTCCGCTGTTTTGACCGGGGACACTTTCACGTGTTTTTGTTCAAAACCTAAAACAATGTAGGTACCCCACTTTACCTCATTATAGTTCAAATACTGATAAAAATCTATAGAAGACGGCATATAATTCACATTCTTCTGTCGCTTCTGTCATGATTTAATGATGCCTTTTCTCAGCCGTTTTCTCTGGCAGGTCTGGCTGAATTTAAGGCGTTCTTCACAATTGAGTTGGTATCTAATATAACATTTCATGGAGACTGCATGTATAACTGTGTTTGCCTACTCTCCGTATTAATTCCTTCTCAGGCATTAATCCAAAATTTCAAAAGTCCTCATATTGGTTCCACCGGGCTCTGCTTTAAACCATCATAACTGATCAAGAGGAAGGTAATTTTCAACAATTAGTATAATTACTGCACCTGTGATGATGGATTTATAAAGAAAAGAACAAACCCCGGCTTGCATGTCTGAGGGTTTGGCATGGCTTGTAATGAACTGTGGTATGAGCAGCCATCCAGACACCATTGAGGTCGGCCAAATCTGTCTCGACGGCATACTGGCCAGTCGAAAGCAGCCCCTTGGCAGCTTTCAGCTGCAATGTTAATTAGCATTAACTGGTACCGTGGTGAAAGTTAGGCTGGAGGTTCACGTTTCATGTTGACTTCCTTGCCACCACTTCCTGCTGCAAGTGCTCCAGTTGTTTCTGCTGTACTTTAATTTTTCTGCCATAATTTTGGTCAGTCCCTGATGCCTCTCACTTTCCAAGGTTAAGGCTCAAAGTCCCCTCTCCTGGCCAAAGGGGCCGGTCCCCCCCCCCGCCCCTCGAATTACAAGGGCGTCCAAGCATTTCCGGCTACGACCCTGGGCTCGTTAGCGCAGCCTCATGTCTGTACTTGGCATTTGCCAGGGACCTGGTAATCCCATTTACTTTCAGATGGGTGTGTGGGAAATGTCCTTGAACCCAAAGCCAGAGATGGTGTGGCAAGGGGGAGGTTTTGGCCAGCCAATCCTGATGACTTTGTGTCTGAGTTGAGCACCCAGAAACCAGTGATGAGTAGTTCATGTACTTCAGAGGTCCCTTGCTCTGGTGGTTGAAAGAACCCCTACAAATCAGCCAACTGACCTACAGTATATTGTCTCTGGAGGTCAAGGGGGAAGGGTCAATAACCACTACATATCCCCCAGTCCCAATCGCTGAAGATCAGACCTTCCAGATTCCTGCTTATCGCTGCAGCTCCTGTTTCTGCTGTCAGATAAGCAGGTTTTTGGGCTCGCAGTGACATTTCCCAGTTAGCTGCTCTGTTATTGGGTTTGAACTGTCACCTTGAAGGATGGTACAACCCAGATTTGCAGCTCAGAAGGTCCAACTTTGCTCGGAAAAGGGAGTAGTGTGCATGTCCTGGTGGCTACTTGTCTGATTTGCCTTTAGTTCACCAAGGAGTAACATGTTTGTAACAATCAGTGTTTGATATACACACTTAGAGGACCAGATGTCCCTAGACAACCATGGCATTTTAAAACCATATTTCATCTTTTTCTTGATGGTCTGAAGGTAATGTCTTTAATGTTGTATATTTTTCTCCCTCAGGAAAGGTTTCAAGCAAAGAACCCCCCCCACACATACCTGCAGAAGCTGAAAGGTTATCTGGACCCTGCCGTCACGAGGAAGGTGAGATCCTGTCCCTAACCACTCCCCCCCCCCCCCCCCCCTCACACAGCAGATGATTCCTATTCCTCCTTTCGCCCCCCAGGCAGTGAGGGGACATCCAGCAGGTCACATCGCATTCCAGAGGTCCTCTAAGAGATGGGAAAGACCTCTGTGTACCTCAAGTATGAGCAGATGGTGTCTGATTGTGATTAGAAGGAATTTCACATCCCCACTGTGCTCATAGATTCGACTGGGGAAGAGTGAGTGTGCGTGAGTGTGTGTGTGTGTGTGTGTGTGTGTGTGTGTATCTGTACACACAAGCAGCTAGTCTGCAGATCCCCCCTGACACCAGGAATCCTGACTCTCAGTTAGAGCTCCAGCGAAATGGAGTCGACCTTGATGAAAGGTTCAAAAAAACAGAACCCGAAGGATGGGGGTGGGTGGGGGGGACTTCGGCATTATTGAGCAACCATGTCTGGATGGAGGTAAAGGAGAGAGAGCTGCTCCACCACCCAGCCAGACACAGAGCCCTGAAAAAGGGCTTTTCTGTTCCTCTGTAGTGGATGGGGGGTCTGTGGCTTGCTGTTGTATATTTAGTCTCCTTTCCAGCCGTTTTTAATGTTCTCAGAGTGGATTTATGTTTCGCTCAGAGTGGAATATGCAGTATAGCTGAGCCGCGGATTTGGTTCAGTAACCCTGAATCTGCGAAGCCTCTCTGTACTCAACAAGCACCTTTTGGCAGCGAAAAATTATAGAATTAGATTGTTTAATAGGTCCTGAGTTGAAGATGAATGAAAACTGTAATAATGTGAATAACAGTGATTCTTTCCAGCACTAGAGAGTGTCTGGGAAAGATGCACAGAGGAACGTATCTGTGAGACTATGGAATAGGCCGGTAATCCTGTAAGCATATGTAGCTGGCGTCCCGACATCTGCGCTCAGATGCAGGAACGCCGAACCGGGGTGAGAAGAAGCTCCAGGAGAGACGCACTCGGTGTAGGCTGACTTCGGGCGGGGGGGATGCCTACGGCTCGTGGCCCCCACCAAAGGCCTGCTCCTCGCTTTGGTGGGGGCACAGACACACATGCGGAGGGAACGCGGGAGTGTTATGGTTTTTACATTCCTTTGCAGCCCCTGTTCCGTTGGGGAATGAACAATTCCGGCTCTGTGTGGCTTTTTTAGGGGGGCAGCCCTAGGTCATTACCTCTGTTTTACATATGCTTCCCCTCATGAACACCCCCCCCCCCCCCCCTAAATCAAGCCCCAATTCCACCCAGCATATTGGAACAGGAGAGAAAAGCAACCTTTCCCAAAAGTCCAGAGGAATGTCTGATATTTATGTTTCCAGGGAGAGACTTCGGGAAGTGCAGCTGGACGGGGCCAGAGTAAGCCTGGCAGTATGTATAGCCATCACGAAGCAGCAGAGAGACGTCTGGGTTCATAGACTTGGGGGGGACTGAGCGGCGGGTCTCTGGGGGTGTTTCTGCCCACCACCCCCCCGTTCACTCAGATTTATAGCACCCCACTATTACCCTTATGATGCTCGCATCACCGGAGACTAAACATTCAGGAAAGATGAGCGCACGGGTCAGAGTTACTGCCAAGTCGCTCTCTGGCGGAAATGGCGTTGCTCGCGGTTACGGTCCCTCTCTTAACAACCGAGAGTCTCGTCGTGCGCCCCGCGGGCCTGGCCTAGAGGCGGGGCCGGCTCTGCCTTTTCAGGGCCAAAGCTTGACTCGAGAGGCCCCCCAACCAAGAAACTTGATGACCATTTCACTTCCTCCACAATGCTGATAATTCAGGGGCCCTGGGCAACTGCTTATCCTTACCTGTAGCTGGAGCCGGACTAGACTATTGGGCAGAACAGGGAGCCGGACTAGACTATTGGGCAGAACAGCTGACGGAGTGTTTAGCATTTGGCTAACAAAAGCCAACAGCAGGGCTCCCAACGTTGGTCAGCTGGATGGCATTAGGATTCCCATTCGAGACGAGTCTGCACACACATGCACGCTCATTTACATGTATGTAACAGTTCTGTTACCTTGTAAATAGTCTGTAGGGTTTGCAAGCTACCCAAATACTTGTGATGTAGCTACTTTTTAGGTTTATAATAGAATAATATAGATCAGACTGTCGTTTCCCCCAGTTTTGTAGCTAGAGAGCTACACCAGCCATTAAAATGCAAACATGTCTGGTGATAGCTGTTGAAGTTTGAAGTGTAAATCAACACAACAGAGAGGTCCTTAAGAGTAAAGGAACTAGTGGATAAAGTAGATAATTCATGAATGCTAATTTGTTTGTATTTTCTGTCTTCCCGGAGCCGGGAAAGGCTGCCTCTGCTCTGTTCTGCCGTTCACTGTGTAAGGAATTAGATAGCATCGGATTTTGGTAGCCTGTCATTATTGTGTTCTTATGGCCAAAGCGGTCCAGCTCCCAACCCAAGACATGCTGCTGGCACATGGTAAAATATGCTTTCTGTTTGTCTGCAGAAGTTTCGTCGTCGAGTGCAGGAGTCAACCCAAGTGCTCAGAGAACTGGAAATATCGCTGAGGACCAATCACATCGGGTGAGTGATGACGGCAGCAAGCTCCACCTTTCCGGTCGGAGTGCATTTCCTGTGTCAGTAAGAGGCTAATATGAGGTATTACACTATCTATGTGTTTTGCAGGAAAGAGGTTTTTTTAAATGGAATTTTAATGGGTTTGAGATGTATGGGAATGGAGCAGAGCAGCCTCAAAGACTGAAAGACCCGGAATGTTCGCTTCTTTCGACTGCTTCTCGAGTCACCTATTGACAAGTTGGAAATCTGCCTGCGAACTATAGTGACTCTATCTTTGAAGAGCTCCCCCCCACTGCAGATTTGAAAAAAACAACAATGAGAAGCAGATGATCGCTCAGGCCGGTAATCTAGATCTTGTAAACTAACCTACATTGCTAATGGAGTGAGTGGATTTGCGCCAGAGCCAAGAGGAAGGCCACCCACATGCCCAGAAAGGGAAGCCTTTCCCCCCAGTGTACTCCCGTTGTGTAAGTGTGGCTTCCGTGACCATCCCTGATTGCTACACTTCTTGGCATCCTAGCTTGTCGTATCTATGGTCCTCCGTCCTGTGGGGCCCGCAGATAACAAGTGACAGAAGAGCCATGTGACATCCACACACTTTAGGACGGCTTTGCTTTTCTTACCGAATGAAAATTCTCCCTGACTCTTAAATACATAAATAAGGACGGTCTGTGTTGGCCACACATTCGGTTCTCCGTGGTTCTCATGTTAAATGTTTCGGTTTCCATTGATACCTGTGTGAAAAATTTTTCCAGTGAAAATTCTTCACCAGCTTTGGTGTCCCTTTTTGCTGCTGTGGAAAGAGTATGAAAGAGGAGACGATATTCCGATGCCACCATGGGAAATTTGTATTTGTGGTTTGCTGTAGATTTGCTATTTTTGTCAGTGAGTGTATTTGAAAGGTTACACTGGTTTTACACTCCAGTTTATGATTTAGTCTTCACTGTTACAACCATTACTTCTACCCTTAATTGCAAAGCCAAGCCCCCTTCCCCTCCCCCCCAAAAGCATCTGGACGCAATCATTCTCTCCAGCCGTGCTATAGGGTGCCCAGATCTGACGTCAGTATGGCAGATGAGCCCCAGTGCATTCTGGGAGCACTGAAAGGATGAAGGATGAGGGGAAGTGAGCTGCACTGACTCAAGTGAAGCAAGGCTGCTGCCAGCAGTGTCCTGACAGCTTAGTCTTATCATGTGGGGAAGCGGGAAGCTTCAGATTGGCTGCTGGCCTCATCTGTTCTACTGCCATTAATAAACCGTGACGTTCCAAGATATTTGCATGACAGCGGCAGCTTGAGGTCTGATACACATTAAGCCAATGCTTTTCTTCTTTGAGTAGAAGTTTCAGTGATGCTTGATGTTGAGGCCAACAGACCAGCTTTGATAGAATTCAATGTCTGGATAAGCGCTGATTCTGCAGTAATTGTGTAGAAAACAAGGTCCCTCGTGGTTTTTCAGGTATGAACAATGAACTAATAAATATTGTAAAACCAGGAGGACTCTGACCCAAGGTTGGGCACTCCTACCTGCTGCATGGATTGCCAAGTCAAGGAATTGCCAAGTCTTCTCCAGACCTTAAGAACTTAAAGAGAAAGTCCTGTTTGGTCTTGAAGCCTCAGTGTGCTGCTGCTGCCGTCTTATGTGTCAGTGTGAGAGCGCAAGGCGACCCATTTGTTGTGACGGAGAAATCATGCTGGGGCTTCCAGGCGACACCTTGCGTTTCAGGAGTATTTATTTAAGTTAGGGGTACATCGCTGCGGCTTCTTCGCGTCTCATACGGCCGGAAAGGCAAAGTAGCCCTATGTGGGTCGTTAAGGAGGCTGCAGAGGGAACCATATTTCTGGTTATTAAAAGGGGAAACGATGACATCATGGCAAGCCCAGCGCTCAAAGCCACTAAGAAGAATCTGAGACGGATTCAGCTGTGGTCTACTTTCACTTTGAGGAGATGTACCTGATCGCTGTGTGACTGTTTGAACCCCCCCCCCCCCTGCCTGAATTCTGTGTCTGTCTGCCATAGGGGTTCTCTGGAAGCACTGCAGGCTTAGAAATGCTTGAACCAGCTATTCCTCCCCTGTGACGGCAGAGAACCTCTGGGCAGGGGAATGGAAAATCTGACAGCTTGAAATACTATATTTTTTTTTTGGGGGGTGGGGTGTTTAAGCAACCTTATTCTTCTACCTATTTTAGTGAGGAGTAGAATAGTAGGTGTATTCAAGCCCCCTGTGTCTGCTACTAGCGACATGGAATAATAATTTTTTTGTAAGGTCTGCATTTCTTGTCTGTGTTCAAAGCTTCCCCTTCATTGTGCTCTCCATAGGTGGGTAAGAGAGTTTTTAAATGAAGAAAACAGAGGCCTCGACGTCCTGGTGGATTATCTCTCCTTCGCGCAGTGCGCTGTCACGTGAGTCAACCCCCCCACCCCCCTTCGCCTGCATGAAATTGTACACTGTGTGGGAAAGCGTGCTCTTGCATCGGCTATGTGGGTCTGCTGTTTTTTGGAAGCGGAGTCCTTTCACGTGTTTAGGCTAGCTCCCAGGATGTTTACTGGGGATATTTTGCGGGGAATGCTCACTGTTGAGATAAGTGACAAGGTTTCGAGGCTGTACCCATTCTGTCCTTCTTCCCCGGTCTCTTCTTATTAGCATTGCACTCTGCCTCATCATTGCCTTCTGAGGGTACCCCCCCCCCCTTGTGGCTCTGTCTTCTTAAAACACAGGCTTAGTCAAGTGTGGTGAGCAAGGGGTTCTTCTGTTAAGGCTGGGGACAAAAGGAGAGCTCTCTGCGAGACTCAAGGCTGTTAGATGAGGGACGAGTTTCCCTGGCAGGAGGTCCCAGCCTCACACTGAGCTCTGGGTAGCTGGCTGGGAAGCTGACTGGGAGGCTGACTGGGAGGCTGGCTGGGAAGCTGCCACCACTGGTTTATAAGATGTACCTTCTGCAGTCTCATCTCCTTACCTTATTTGGGGTCTTTTCCTTGTATCCATCTTGGTTTCTACTCAGAAACTAGATAACCTTACCTTGATTTTCACCGTCACACCTCCGCACAGAACACAAATCTCCTCTCCCTTCTTCCAGATTTGACTCTGAGTGTCTGGAAAACAGCACAGAGCCTGTGGCCGACAAGTCCAAACGCTGGAGCCGGTCCATAGAGGATCTGAACGCGGGACCCATCCATCCACTGCGGCCTGGACGACACTCCACCCTAAGGTGAACACCCCCCCCCCCAAACTGCTACCTTGGTCACTCCCTAATGGGTCATATATTAGCTGTCAGACATGGCATATGTGTGTAGCGATGCTGGGGATATGTGAAGCAGGACACCCAGATAAATAGATAAAAAATATCAGTCACCATACAATAAACTAAACGTTAGCTCCACTTCGTATTTGCATTGAATTAAAGAATATTGCATGCTAAGCTAATGCCTTTAAGAAAAACCTGCATAGCTTTGCCTGTGTTACAATAGTAAGAAGAGATGTAAGTATTGAGGATCTTTACTGTCTGGAACATAGAGGTGTAAAGAAATGTACCTGGTGCAAAATTAAGTGAAATGCAACAGTTGTGTTCAATATTCAAGGGAGGCAGGAGTTGAGATTTTGTGTTGGATGCTGGAAATGGCCAGACTGCACTGAGCATGAGTGATGGACTGCAATCGAGTGCAAAGGTGTCAACAACAGAGTACTGGACAGAATAAGTACTACTAGGCAACAAAGTATTGACTATAGACAAAGTCCTGGAGAGGATAAAAGTGAATGACAGGAAGTACTGGGCATTAGGTAAAAGTACTGGGCAATAGGTAAAAGTACCATCAACTGAGTAGTGAGCAGCCAGTGAAGGGATGTAGTCTTCACAGGAGTGTGTCCAGTCTAAATATTATCATGAAGATCCACTCCTGGGCTACATGCGTAATTAACCATTCAGCTGCCACCTTCTTCCACATTTTCATCATTTGTTTTTCTGTCATCAGCTCACCGTGCCTCAAAATCCCAAATAAGTAGCCTTGTTGTCAACATTTGTGTCTCTGCCCCTTCAAGGGCTCCCCCCGGCCCCCACCCTCACTGGCAATGCCATTCTTCTTCAGTTAACACCAGCTTGGAAAAACATTTCTTTTTGGAAATTTCTTTTTTTCAGATTTTTTGTAGCAGATGTTTGCTTTTCCAGTCCCTTTATATGAAGCTATAAACTTGAACAGCGTAATGACAATATTTTGTTGTGCTCCCCATAACACAGCACTTACCTGGCCGCCTTGTGAAAATATCATTTTTAATATACCGTCCAACCTTCGTTTCTCTTTGTATTTTCCATCCATCTTGGTTTCTACTCAGAAACTAGTCAACCTTTCCTTGATTTTCACTGTCACTGTCACACCTCTGCACCCAACATAAACCTCCTCTCCCTTCTTGTCCTTTTGTGTCCTTTATAGCTATAAAACAGACTTTTATTGACAATCAATATAATAGCAATTTTCAATGTCATATTTTTTTAGTCTTTCTTTATGTACTGTAATTTTTTTAAATTGTGTTACGATTTCAATGTAGGCCAGGGCCTTTTCAAGGCCACAGTCATCATAGGGCAGTTGGTACGTCTTGGTAGAACTCCTGCAAGTATACAGCCATGCTGTCCAAGCAGACCAGAGAAGAAGGCAGACTGTCATTGTCAAGGAGTTTCTCTTGTGTGATACTCGCTTCCTAGAAGGGAAACGCCTCAGTGGTTAGTGACTTATTAAAGAAAGTAACCTCAGGGGCTTTGAGTAGGATTGAGGCCTCGTGTTCGTGTTTATAAGCTGACAAGCACAAAAAAACATGTCAAAGCATATCTGTGATTAGTGCGTGAAGAACCGGCACACGGTATCCATGTGTCAGATCTCAAGGAACCAGCCTCGTCTCCTTCTGTGCTCAGTTTTTTTTTGACTTTACTGATACACAGTAAGAGAAATGAAGGATTGGGGGGGGGGGGGGGGGGGGGGGGGGGAGGCCCGCTCGTACTCCCACACGGCCGCAGCCATAGCCCATGTGATTCAGTGTTCCTGAGCTTACTCAGAAAGTATGCGACAGACAGGAAATGAAACATACCGCAGTCATAACTGAGTGCGAGATGTGGGGCCTGTGTTTTAATGATGGCGGCGGTAAAAGGGATCCCACAGACCAGCCGCTTCCAGAGGGCTCGCAAATTCCTTTTCACTTCCAGAATTCGTCACTGACAAAAAAAAAAGTGTTATGTCTGCGCCTAATGCTAAAAACATATCATCCATCTTCATAACCGCTTATCCAATAGGGGGTCACGGTGAAAACAGAGCTAGCGACAGAGCATGAAGTAGGGGGACACCCTGGATGGGGGGCCAGTCCACAGGGGAACGTTATACTGTATAAGGATGGCATGGTGACTGAAAATGAAAGAAAGATATGAAAGGTTTTAGATTAGATCCAACTTTATTGTGCAAAGTACAAGTACTGAGACAGCGAAATGCGATTACATGATGATGAAGTTTGTCATGTAATCAAAAAGTGCTGAAAATACCTGTTTTTGTAGGATACTTAAGAAAGAACATTGCGTGTGTCCAGGCGTCCCGGTGTTGGGGGGTAGAGGGGAGTCCTGTCAGGTGCACTGGGGGAGACCAGGCCTACTTCAGCATTTTTATTCTCTTTTTATTTTGATGAAGTCTTGAAGGCTGGTCAGCTCCCTGCCCCGCATGCCAATGACTCTCGTCATCCTACGCGGGGCGGACACGTCTGTTTTCGCCGATTTGAGCAAAAACAATCGACACGCCATCCCAGGCCTGCCGCCGCGAGCTCGTTTGCATTGCTAATCGCGTTGCGGGCCTCCCCGTCTTCGCTGGCCAATGGCACAGGCCTCCTTCCCTTGTAAGGCCAGTGCCATGGGGGGAGCGGGGGGCCGCTTTTGAGAGCTCTGGTGGATTTACGTTTTCTGGGCATCTGTATGCTTTGTGCGGGGCGCTCTCCGTCATTCCTGACGTTCTTTCATTCCTCGGACGTGTCAGAAGACAATAAGTACAGACGCACAGCTCACAAAAGCGTCCGTAAGTGGCACTCGGGACGGTACGAAATGATTCATACGCAGGCGGAGACGCAGAGGAGCGTTTTGGCTTTCAGTCTGAACATCCCGTGAATGAAGATCTGGAAGCTTCTTTGTCTTAGTCTTGGAAGCAAAGATGCCGTCGGTGGGGGTTACAATTGCTTTATTATGCAAACGAGGAGGTGGGCTTTACCGCCGTGTCCCGTCTGCCCCTGTGTGCTCAGGTGCAGTACGTTGCCCAGCCGGAGGACGCTGAAGAACTCCAGAATAGTGTGTAGGAAGGATGACGTCCACGTTTGTATCATGTGCTTGAGAGCTATCATGAACTACCAGGTGAGAGGCCTTTTCCGCGTGCGGCACCAACGCACACCGTGTCACAGCGGCCTGTCCAGGTGTCTTCTGCTTCGCCGACTGAAGGTCGCTTGAGGAGATCTGTGTCAGAGGCACCCCAGTTACTATGCTTCAATATTGCTTTTCTCTCTCTCTCTCTGTTGAACATGCAGTATGGCTTCAACATGGTCATGTCCCATCCACGCGCCGTCAATGAAATTGCACTAACCCTCAACAATAAAAATCCCAGGTAAGCCCAACTTATGTAGATGGGCTCATCTCTGAGATCTCTGCTGAAAAAAACAGTTTATACCTAGTTCACGACAAAGTGACAACTTTGTTTTCCTCACCAAGTCTTTTTAAAGAATGTTTAATTCCCAAAATGCACTCCTACATTTCACCAAGCCAGTTAGGATCCGCAGGTATACTAGACCTAGCAGAATAAAGTTTTATTTTTAAGGAAGAATTAAGCTGTTAGCTTTAAGGGATGGGATAAAAATTCACCACATTTATGAATTGCCGATTACATAAATTTTATTTAATCCCCAGGATAAAATGAGTGTAATCCCCTTAAAGGTTTTTATTTGCTCCTCCATGGAAGCTTTGCATAAACAGATTTTTTACAGAGCAGCTACAGCATCTTTCTTGATGACGCAACAGCAGCATCCTGTCTCCTCCTCACGCAGCCGCCTCCTTTCCGTTTCAGAACCAAGGCTCTGGTTCTGGAGCTGCTCGCAGCCGTGTGCCTGGTCAGGGGCGGCCATGAGATCATTCTGGCGGCCTTCGACAACTTCAAGGAGGTACTGGTGTAATCTGAGAAAAGCGCAAGCGGCCGACCAGAGCTGAATTTCTGAGTGGGCCTGTCTACACCCTGTAGGGGCTTTAGTGAGCCATCCCACGTTTCAAAGCACTGAATACAATTAGCCGCTCACACTCGCTGCAAGGGCACCACGATTCATTATCCAGGCAGATAATACATATAGACAAAGTGATGTATACTTTGACACACCTGCACCTCGTGTGTGCGTGTGCAAGTTTGGATCAGATATACATTACATCGTGTGTGTTTACAGGGCTTTTGCAGTAAAAGCAGGAGAATGCAGGATCTGTTGCATAACATCACAGGAAAGTTGGGCTCCGAAAAACGTCATGCAATTTTAGCACGCAGCTGGATGAAATATTAAAGCATGCAATAAATTGCTCGTACCATCTGTGAGAGGCTGCAGACACCTTCAGATCTTCAGAGTCGGCTGCCATGTTTTTTCTCTGAGGGGACCTTACATGGATCATAAGACGGGGCAGGGGGGGAGGGGGTCTTTACCGCTCATCAGCGCAATGACTGATCTGAGGAATGTGCCGTGAGATCAGCAAGGGCCCGGCAGGAAATGAAGTGCGGTGTGTTCACGTCAAGATGACCTACGCGAAAACGTTTTGACACACAGCGGTGGACGCCACGCAGGGCCTGCTACACGTGATGGGAAGAGGGAGGGCGATTGATGTCTTATAACAGAGTACATTAGAAACAGTCCACAAAACAGGAGGTATATTAAGCATATGGTGTCTAGAAGACTAGAGAAACTCATACGGATCCAATAACTTTAACAGACATCACTATTGAGCTTTACCATCTTGCGTAACTGAATGAGGTGCTTTTTCCTAATGAATCCAAGTAAATAGTTTGAATTTTAACAGGGTATCATGGTAATAAATAACCTTTATGTTTATAGCAGAAGAATTTATAAATACAGTAGCTTTTAAGAGATCATCCAACTGACCTGGTTGTTTGTTCTCAAGATATTCCGATCACCTGGGAAAAGTACAGCGTAATAAATGGTAAGTGATGTTATCACCTCTGCCTCTCTGATAGGTCTGTGCAGAGACGCAGAGGTTCGAGAAGCTAATGGAGCATTTCAAGAACGAGGACAGCAACATCGATTTTATGGTACGTTTAACATCCGACTTGATACTTTTGGATAATGGAGGTTGCGTGTATGTGCGGGGGAGCGATTTGGAATGCTGCTTCGGGATAATGGGCTTATAGAGTAAATTCTGTGAAGCTAGCTTGGCTTCCTAAAGGCTTTGGAGTTGGAGGGAGACTGATGGCCAGAGGAGCATAGAGGACCAGTGGGAGAAACGCTTGGTGGCGTTTTGTGGAGGCCATCTGTTGCCCAAGTGATTTATTGCTGCGTGTGGTAGCTCCATCGAAGATGTGTCAGGAGTGAATCGGGAGTTCTAGAGCTAGCTAGAATTCATACAGCATGACTGATTTACCTATAGAACCTTAGCATGTAAACTTCACTGTGTGGAAGATATTTAGGATACATTTCAGGCATAGTCAACATTTGTAGTGCAGTCCATCTTCAAAGCCTATTGAGCATCTCCAGGGCAACGAGCGCCTCCAAGATGAGTATGGAAAAAGCCGGTGTGGGCCCATTTCACTGCGTCTCTCTCTCTCCAGGTGGCCTGCATGCAGTTTATCAACATCGTGGTTCATTCAGTAGAAGACATGAATTTTAGGGTGCACCTGCAGTACGACTTCACAAAGCTCCTTTTGGACGAGTACCTAGACGTAAGTAAAAGGGAAAAATTGTACCTTGCCGTGCATTTTGGTGGAAAATGAATCGCATTGATCTGATTTTGTGCAGAAATGGTGTGTAAAGTCTCAACCATCTACAAAAATACCAGCTTGAGGTTGGTGTTCACTGAAGATGACTTCATGCACCTGGTCCACGAATTCAAGCGGGACTCAGAAGAAACTGCACAGCATTAAATTCCACCCCCACGTGCACAAACTGAATCTGCCCCCCCCTTTACCTACACAGAAACTCAAGAACACGGAGAGCGATAAGCTGCAAGTGCAGATCCAGGCCTACCTGGACAACGTGTTCGACGTGGGCGCCCTCCTGGAAGATGCCGAGACCAAGAACGCCGCCTTGGAGCGTGTGGAGGAGCTGGAGGAGAGTGTGTCCCACGTAAGGACAGCCAAGTGTAGAGCCGATCCCCACCCAGGAAACCATGTATCCAAGTGTATTAATGTCCCACCCAGCTAGCGGGGCTAACTAATAGCTTATGGTAAAAGTTGCTTAGTAATTGTCAGATCTGGGGAAATGAAATTTCATTGTAAAAATATTTAATAATTTTGCTTGTTTGAAACGATTGCTTTTTTGAAAAATAGCATTCCCTTTGTGTAATGGAAACTGTCCAGTTTCAATTGTAGGTTGTATTTCATGACAGATTTGGCGAAACTGTACTTCTGAAAAGTGTGGTTTAATTGAACATCCTCCTTACTTGTCCGTTGCTTGTAGATGACAGAGAAGCTGCAAGACATGGAAAATGAAGCCATGGCAAAGATGGTGGAGCTTGAGAAACAGCTGATGCAGAGGAACAAGGATCTGGAGGCTATACGGGTGAGGATTATTACCAAAGAACACAAGAGGTTTCTTTGTTTGCTTTCTTCTTGTTCGCTCCCTGTTGTTGATGGCTACACTCTTTCGATTTGACAATTGGCCCTTGATTGATGAACCCTGTACCACGTAGCCAATAGTCAAGCTGCACTCCTTGAACGGTTGGACCGTTCATCATCTGTTTCCCCTCCGGCACAGGAAGTGTGCAAAGATGCCAGCATCCAGGTGCATACGCTACGCCGGATCGTGAAGGAGAAGGACGAGACCATCCAGAGGCAGTGCAACCTGGAGAAGAAGATCCACGAGCTGGAGAAACAAGGGACCCTCAAGATCCAGAGGAAGGGGAACAGTGACATCAGCATCATGCCTTTCTCTGAACAGGGAAGCACCCTATTGGCAGACACACCAGCAATAGGTCCACAGGGTGGCGCCATCCCAGAGGCAATGTCACTACCCCCACCGGCTCCCCCCCTCCCTCCAGAAACTGGAACTGGTATGACATGACATACCTACATGCACAATATTATGTTACCTGAAGTGTCATTAGTGCTTAGATGGACATAAGCAAAAGGCTGTTTCTAATTTGCATAAACTAGACATTGGTTCTTCTGCGAGAAGGAATAAGTTGTTTAGTACCTTTTGATGTCTGTGATGGTGGCCCCACCTCCATCCCTCCACACTCACACTTGTTTCCTCTCGTCTCTCCTTGTCCCTTCTCGTCTCTCCTTGTCCCTCCTTGTCCCTTCTCATCTCTCCTTGTCCCTCCTTGTCTCTCCTTGTCCCTCCTTGTCCCTTCTCGTCTCTCCAGTGCCAAACGGGCCGACGGCCACTTCTGCTCCACCGCCCACCCCTCCTCCGCCCCCGCCTCCTCCACCGCCCCCACCTCCTCCTCCACCACCCTTGCCTCCTCCTCTGGGCCTCACTGTGGACGTGTCGGCACCCCTACCCCCTCCGCCACCCCCTGGTGCCCCTCCTCTTCCTGGCTGTGGCTCTCCCACGGTCATCTTCAACTCAGGACTCTCAGGTAAGGCTCCAGGTCCTGAGAAGGCTTTGGTCCCCAAAGACACCATTAGCATTGGCATAACATTTGTAACTGTTTAATCTCTAATATATGTGATATTTTAATGAACTGGCTACTGGGAATCTGACTGTAAATGCCAAATTATGTGTAACAATTTCTGTGAGTTATTTCAGTTTTGATGTCCCTGCTGTTGAAACTTAAATTTCCCTTTTTTCTGGTTCTGTTTTGACCCCACCCGCCCAATCGTTTTCTTCAAACAAAGATGGACCCATAAAGCTGTTTTGTAGGTTATGTCTGTTTTGTGTCCCCCCCCCGCCCTCCCCCAAGTTGGAAATGGTATTTTCAGTTGTCTAAGATCCAAACACACCAATGCATGGTGACACGGTTGTAGCACCACCTTATGCTGGACATTCAGGTCCTGAAAATACCCACCCCCCCTCCCCACCTACCTAAAGCAAAAACAAAACACAAAATGGACTTGCTTCAGAACGCCACATGAAATAAATTTTCCTAACAGGGTGAGCCAAAACTCGCAACACTATGCAGCCCCATGGGAAAATGTCTCCTACCCCAAAAAGGTACACCCCCCCCCCCGCCCCGGTTGTTAATTACATAGTTTGAGAGGACTTAAAAAAGTGGAAATACCATATTTCTAATCCCCTCCCCCCCCCAACGATTTGGTGTGTTCTGTTTGTGAGTCGTAAGTCATTGCATGCTGAAGCACATTTCTGCGTCATTATAAACAGATTGAAGGCAGATTGCGAGTCGCTATGTCAGTGTGGGGTCACATGCCGGCTCATGCATGCAGCAATAAGGAGGCTGAAAAGAATGTTTTGACACATACCCATTAAGTTATGTCGTTTCACATAGTAAAAGGCATCCTTTGAAGTGGCATCCTTTTGGATGTTTATGCATCATCATAGACTAGATGAACGTTTTAACTGTAATGGATGGAAGTGAGGTGGCACAGTGGGTAGATCAGTGACCTCTGGGATTGGAGGTTTCGGGTATCTTCTAGGTTTGCAGATAGGCGTGGGGTGTCTCTGAATTGCCAGTAGTGTGTGATTGTGTATGTGAGGGAGTGTGCAGCTGTGGTGCACTAGTGTCCCATCAGTGGTGCACTGCTGCCTCCTGTCCTATGCATACTGTGACAGGGCCAAGGTTCATCAAAGCCCTCTACTGAATTAGTGAGTTTGGAAGATGCATGGATGGTTGAATATAAATGGCAGTCAAAGTCTTACAAATCCCCCCCCCCCCCAACCACCAACTGATTGGCTATTACAGCCAAGAAAACATCCATTCGCAAGCAATCATCTTGCCCCATTCCATCGCCATGGTGACCCACCCGTGCACTTTTTTATGGCTCGGCTTAGAAATTGGCTCGATTCCACATGAACAATTTGCTCCCCTTTTGTCTCCCGCAGCAGTGAAAATAAAGAAACCGATAAAGACTAAGTTCCGCATGCCGGTCTTCAACTGGGAGGCACTGAAGCCCAACCAGATCAATGGGACTGTCTTCAATGAGATTGACGACGAAAGGATCCTGGAGGTGACGCCTTCATTCTGGCATCCTCATGCATATTCCAGGTGTTCATGGGAGTTGAAGGAAAAAATGTTGATTCAGAGAACCAATCAGATTGTATAGGAGATGGGTCAAAGCAACTAGAGGAAGTGGGACCAAGACAGCCGATTGGTTGGTTCCACTTAGACCCACCTCCTCTACAATCTGATTGGTTATCTCTCTGAACCAATCATTTTTCATCCTGCCTTCAGAACATGTCTGCATACATAAAACTCCCATGAGCATTCCAGGTCACCTTTCACTACTTTCTTTGAGCATCCTGTACCCGAGGTCAGCAGCACGACACATTGTGATTCATATGCGTTGTGTGCCAAGGAGTCCTATACCTTTGAATTTGCAGGACCTGAATGTGGACGAGTTTGAGGAGATGTTCAAGACCAAGGCCCAAGGCCCGGCCGTCGACTTGACAACAAGTAAACAGTGGACAAGTCAGAAAGCATCCAACAAAGTGACACTGCTCGACTCCAACAGGGCGAAAAACCTGGCCATCACACTGAGGAAGGTGGGAAAGGCTCCGGAAGAAATCTGCAAGGCCATCCAGACGTAAGCCACGCTCCTGCCTGTCAAAAGACTTAACCCAGATCACCGACAGCAACCGTGCCTAAACATGCCCCCCCACCTCCACTGAAAATTGCAAAAAAACAAAAAATGAAAAACAAAAACCGACTCTGCTTTTAAATCATTTAGCAAGCTAGAGATCTTTTTGTTGTTATCTTTTGTTCCCTGGAAATGCCGCCCCCCCACTCATATCTGATGGAAGCGGCAGGTGCTGTAGAGACGAATCCTGTCCTGCGTCAGCCTGATTTTGCTCTTTGCGGTGCCCCCCGCCCCCCCCCGCCCCTGCAGGTTTGACTTGCACACCCTGCCCGTGGACTTTGTGGAGTGCCTGATGCGCTTCTTGCCCACGGAGAAGGAGGTGAAGGTGCTGCGGCAGTACGAGCGAGACCGCAAGCCGCTGGAGAGCCTGGCGTACGAGGACCGCTTCATGATGCTCTTCAGCAAGATCGAGCGCCTCATGCAGAAGATGACCATCATGGCATTCATGGGAAACGTCTGTGAGAGCGTGCAGATGCTCACGCCGGTGAGATCCCCACGCCAAACCGCCGCCCTCCCACCCACAATGCCCCTCCCCCTTACAGAACTCCCAATGTTTAGGATTACTGTCCTCACACTGCGGCCCTTCCTTCTGTTGGATTCTCCGTGCCGTGGAGTGGAGTGAAGATCACCCAACGATGGGTCACTGACGTTCACCAAGCTCTCTCTGATGGATGATCTCACTTCTTTTCGCAGCAACTACATGCCATCATCGCGGCTTCGGTGTCCATAAAGTCATCACAGAAGTTAAAGAAAATTCTAGAGGCAAGTATTGTAGGGCTTTTCCCCGTTGGGTTTGTAACCTCTCAGGAGGAGTATAGAGGTTCACTCTGGTTTTTTTTCTTTGCAGATCATCCTGGCTCTTGGGAACTACATGAACAGCAGCAAAAGGGGAGCCGTCTATGGGTTTAAACTACAGAGCTTAGACCTGGTAAAACCCTATGGGTCAAACTGTTAACACAAGTAATACATAAACTGCTCGCTGTTAATACACAGTTTGTTTGGTACTTTCTGCTTCCCCAAAGCTCTTGGAGACTAAGTCGACTGACCGGAAAACTACGCTGCTGCACTACATAGCCAATGTAGTGAATGAGAAGTACGAGTCGGTGTGTTTCTTCTACAATGAGCTGCACTATGTGGAGAAGGCGGCTGCAGGTATGTCAAGTGCTGGATCCTGTCCGTTGGTTTCCGTCGTGCCACAAAGGGTCTTCACGCCCATGGTCTTCATGCCGCAGTGTCTCTGGAAAACGTGCTGTTGGACGTGAAGGAGCTGCAGAGGGGCATGGACCTGAGCAGGCGGGAGTACAGCATGCACGGCCACAACACGCTGCTCAAGGACTTCATCGCGCCGAACGAGGGCAAGCTGAAGAAGCTGCAGGACGATGCCAAGGTTGCGCAGGTAAGGGGTGTCCAGCCGTGGGCCAATGACACCTGGGCATGTGCTGGTTTTACAGCCAGAAGGTTGCTAGTTCGAGTGCAGCGGGGCACTATGCTTGTGTTTATGGCTTCAACAAGCAAATTAGCTAAACTTACTCCAGTTAAATTACAAAATAAATAGGCAAACATATAGCTTTAGAGAAGACTCATCTAAGAAACAAAATACTAATATATAGATAGTTCTGGCAATAGTTGCGCATAGGAAAATAAGAAAAGTACATAAGGTCAAATAATATACAGTTAGTGTCCTGTTGTCATGTGTCATCTCGCTTTTCTTAAAGGATGCCTTTGATGAGGTGGTTAAGTTCTTCGGGGAGACTTCCAAAACGACGCCCCCTTCGGTATTCTTCCCAGTGTTTGTGCGTTTCGTCAAGGCCTATAGGGTGAGTAAGAAAACACGTAAAAAAAAAAAAATGAATCTGGGCGTCGCCCCTCCCCTTCTCTGCGGGGCACCTGAAAGCTTAGCCGCCGTGTCGCCTCCAGCAAGCCGAGGAGGAGAACGATCAGAGGAAAAGACAGGAGCAGATGCTGATGGAGAGGCTGCTTGAGCAGGAGGCCATGATGAACCAGGAGAACCAGAAGGTGGGCAGCTGCTTGGGGGAGGGGGGGGGGGCCTCCCCGTGGAGCAGGGGGTCCTCATGCGGCCATCGGCAGAGGTCCGAGCTTTCAGCCCTGACTCATCACGCCTAATAACAGAAGCAGATGTACATGTATCATCCATCCATCCATCCATCCATCCAATAACTGCTTATCCAACACAGAATCACTGGAAGCAGAGGCGATGAGGCAGGGGGCATGATGCCAGGCCATTGCGGGACACGTTTAGAGACTCCAGTTTGTCTCACCATCTGTTTTTAGGCTACGGGAGGAAAAGCATACAAACCTCCACACATGCAGAGCTGGGGATGGGATTCGAACCCCCCCAAGCGCTGGAGGTGTGCGGTTACAGTGCGACTCGCTGTGCTGCCCCTTTAGTGTCTGCGTGCATGGAGGTTGGTATGTGGGATATGCACTCGGCTGGCAGTTTATTAGGAACCCTTGCTAATGCCTGTCCCCTCCAAAGAGAGACCCATGTGACTGCTGCTCAATACCTACGGCGCGCAGGATGGATCAAGATCTTTAGTTACCATCTGACTAAGCATTAGGGTGACTAATGCGTGTGAACTAAGGGATTTTAATGAGTGTGTATACAGCTGAGAAATTCTTTCAACAAGAAGTCATTCACATAAATTTATCCCCAAAATATTATGCCTGGAAGTGGAGTTAATGCTGGAAAGCCTCTAATGCACCGGAGTCTCCTCGCTCCTGGTGTGTGTGGGAGGTGCATGCTGTGGGGTGTGTATCGACTGACTGACTGCTCTCCTGCTCTCCTGCTCTCCTGCTCCAGTCTCCCTCCCACAAGAACAAGCGCCAACAGCAGGAGCTGATCGCCGAACTGAAGAAGAAGCAGGTGAAAGACAGCCGGCACGTCTACGAGGGCAAGGATGGCGCCATTGAGGACATCATCACAGGTACCTGTCCTCCACACAGTCCTGGCGACACGTCCCCTGTGACGCAGGGTTGGCCATGTCTTGCGCCCTCTACTGGTGTCCCCCAGAGCAACACTTACTTCACCGGTGGTGCTGAGTTACTAATGCGACTGGCTAACAAGGACAAGTAACAAGCGCTTCTTGGTTCACCGGTAGCTTGAGAAGCTCTTCTCAGCGTTGGTCATTAATACAGAACATCAGCTAGATGACTAATGTAATTACATTCTCATGCCCGGGCGTGTGTCTGCATGTACATTTTTCGCCAGTCTGCTGGTGTCTCATTAACTTTACCTGCTGTAGGTGGCCCAGAGAAAGAACATCAACCGCAGAACTCGGAGTAGATCAGCCCTGTTTGACATAATTTTCTAAATTAGAAATAGTAACCCCTGTAAGCTTAAATTAGCTTTACTTTTCATATTACCAATGGTTTATCAAAAAAACTAATGCATTATGTTAATTGACCTAAATTTACTTTTAAAATTAACATATTTTTATGTTTTTAAAATGTATTTTGTTTTTATGTTCAATTTTTGACATTGCAAATGTACAGTACACTCTTATTAGCAAATAAAGTAATTTCTAAATTTAATTTAATCACTGTTCTGTATGAGATTTGGAACAAAAGACTTTAAATTAGACTTTAATGTTTCTGAGGAAAAGCCTGACCCTGAACTATTTGAAAAATAAAATGGAAATTTTTTAATGAAAAAAAACTTTCCTAGTCCGTAAGCTTTGATGTGGTCGGGCAAGGTCAGGTGACGTAAAGCGTAAACCCCCACTCCTGTCCCCGGTGGTTCGGTCCGTCAGAGTGGAACGGTCGGCCCTATTTTTGCTCCTCTGCCCGCTAACACAGCAAGCGTGCGCTGATTCTGCCGTGTGCCTGTCGTTTCAATGCAGCGCTGAAGATGGCGCCCTTTACCGCCCGAACCGCCAAGCGCGGCTCCCGCTTCTTCTGCGAGCCCCCCCTCCCAGAAGACTTCCATTACTAACAACCTAAACTCTCTCTCACAAAGGTGGCCTTACACTTCTCTCTGCATCCCTGTGTCCCCCCCCCCCCCCACAGACGTGATCCGAGCATGTGTGCAGGACCGCATGTCTTTTTGTGTGGTGTTTTATTGGGGGTGTCAGTCACCTGCGAGACAGGAGGATGTGTCTTCACACATGCCTGTTTGTGCTTAATGACCTTCCTTTGTGCTTAATTTTCTAAACTGTCACTCATACTGCATTTATTATAAATTAGCAGACATCGACTGATTAATACTGGTTTCCCAATGGGAAGCAATTCAAAACTATGCTTCTTTCGCCCCCTTGTGTTGTAAAAAAGTACTAAGTACGAAGCGGTATTAATTATTGCATTTAATATGATCACGTATTTTTACTAGTGGATTTATTGATCTGGCATATGAACAACTAAACGTCAAAATGTGGTCTTTAACTGTTTTCATGAGAGTATCACTGAAATGTGTTGTCCAGCAGCATGGATGTGTTGTAGATTAATGCTCTTTGCATGTCTCTCGCATGCTAACCCTACCTGATGTCCCCCTGGGTGTCCTTGCCTCATTCCCCCAGGTGGTGGCGCTACTCGCCCACACAGGGCCTGGTTCAGCATGGGCCTGAGAGATCTGAATATGATCTCGCTCAGTCACTATCTGAAAGCCAAATACATGCCTCGGATATTCCGATTCCAAAAGATATCCTGCAAAGCATCCTGAAAATGAGCAGTATATCCTAATATTATGAATTGTGGGAACAGAATGTTGTACTTGAACAACTTGGACATGTATCTGGCTGAATGCATGCTTAGATTCCATTTTCAAGTCTGAGTTTGCAAGTGACTGTTTTTTTTTTTTTATTAGTCTGAAATTTTTTTGTCCTGTTTTAACTTGCTTCTGGTGAACTGTAAGAATGATTTGTGCAACATTAATGTTGACTTTTCCCTCCACACCTGGGAGTCATTTTATAAAGCAGCCTAGGCTTTTGTGACACAGAAACGCTTTAGTAACCGATACCCCTACCTGCAAAACCAATAACATCGCTTAGCCCCGCCCCTCCTAATTCCCAAGCCCCGCCCCCTCTGCTTCCAAAGCTAATTTGCTGAAGGCCAGTTTTAACACTCTAGGGTGACTCATTTCTGTCACCTTGCTTATCTGTAACCTCCATTTTGTCTCCTCTTCATCCAGCTCTCAAGAAGAATAATATAACTAAATTTCCCAATGTCCATTCGAGGGTAAGGAACTCGTCCAGTAGCACCCCAGTGGTGCTGGATGTGACCCAGATCTGGCAAGCAACATTTTTTTTTGTATTCTATCTCTATCCTCTATGCTGTGCTAAAAGCCATGTGATCAGATAATGCCCATCAAACTGATGACGCACGATACCATTCAGGTCCAGCCCAATTCCCAGCATGTAACAAATAGTGAATTTAAGGACAGCAGTACCAGATAAAGCAACAATCTTTATGTGGTATCCCACAGACACAAGGGTGTTGGGTCACGTCCTAGGGTGGTCATGGTGACGTCCCCTGGGTCTGTCTTGTTCTGGGGGAAAAAACAACACAACATGTGTTTTATGGGTGTGAATAAATTGACTGAGGATAAGTAACAGTGTTACTTTATGATCGTGATGGGGACGCTGAAAACCATACAGCTATCCTAGTATGTGACTGGAAACCCACCAACATCTGCAAAATGGCAGATTTCATCCTATTGGCTAAAACTAATCACATGTAACATTTTTCTCACTGGCGCGCAGTGTTAAAAAACCTGTGAATAATTTGTAGGAAGGATTTCCTCCTGTGTCATTTGTCAAAGGCATCAACAGGGACGAAAAGTCTGATTTAAAAAAAAATAAAAACGGGGAGTTCATTGATATTTAAACTTTTAGGTAACATTTTACTGCCACTTCAGGCCGCCTGATCCTTTCCCTGCCTGTTTTGCTCCTCTGTGGCAGTCGTCCCCGAAGAGCGATTCCAGTGTGTTTCCATCTCGCTTAAGCTGCTTTGTGTTGGCTGCCCACAGGCATCTCCCAGGCCTTGGCGAGGACTCTGACACCTCTCCCCATCTCTCCTCAGATCTTCGAAATCAGCCGTACAGACGTGCCAACGCGATGAGGAGGAGTGTACGGAGACTCTTTGATCAGACCAATGTCGCGGAGATGGACACATGATTGGATGGTTTTTTGTTGAAGACGCCCGAGCGCGCTTGCTTCCGGACTGGCGGAAGGAAAGTTTTTTTTTTTTTTTTTGGGGAACCTTACTTGAGCCAAGTGCCTAAACTCAGTTCTGATCATTTTGTTTACCTTAAGGAGAAGGACCTGAGCTACTCCTTTAATTGCTCAAACGTGGCTTGGAAACCTGAGGAAATGGTTGAAGGTATTTCACTGAAGCTGTTTACTATGGAGCTACATAGTATTAGACCACGTTCTGATCCTACTGCCTATTTTTTTTTCCAAACATACTTTGGCTGCACTTAATTTTTTAAAACAAAACTCAACTGTGTAATATGTACTTTGCGACGAGCAATGTAGATATGACTGAAACATGATATGTACTGTTGTGAACTGGCATTTTCAAGCACAAATATAAGTCTTACTACAGGAAGTTGGGGATGCGAGATGCCTAGGGGGTTAGGCAAAGCTAGCATTCCTCGCTGCCCCAGCCCTGATAACTGGTTAGCATCTCATTCATCGGACCAAGGCGATAAAGTCCAACTTGACTGAAATTTAACTGGACTGAGGAATCAGTTTGCTCCCCTCACATCCAGTAGGAGGATTAGGGTTTTTGTTGGAAGGGAGGGAATCTTGCATTCACCAAAGTTTGGGCTTTGACAGCAATATGTAGATCCTACTGGGAGATCATCAAAGCTAGGTATCAAATCTGTTTATGCTCAAAACATGGTCTTATTTATACTCTGCATCTGCTTCTAGTCACTTTTGGTCCAGTTTTTAATGTGGTTGATCATACAGGTTCAAGAAAAGGAAGAAAAAAAAAAACATTTTCTACATTTACAGATATTTTGCTAGAAAAATCATAGCTGCACATAAGTGTAAGCTTGTTCTTGTACATATTGTTTAAAGAAATTTGGACACATTTCTGTGCCAAACGATTGAATTATTTTAACTTATAGATGTTATTTTTTCAGTTTGCATAATTTAATGAACCAGCGAAGGACACAGTCGTGTTCTGTGCTCGTGTGCTGAGCAGCATCCCTACTTCCAGTGACCCAATCAGAAAGTGGCATTAAACACTCTGTGATTTTTCTAGAGTAACAACCCATGAAAATGTTCTTCATATCCCATGCACACATACCCTGTGTTCTCCTTACAGGTTACATTGTATCCATCTCATCCTGAGTGGACAATCATTAGCATGTTTTTCAGCAAAAATTATTTTAGGCAATCCCTGCTTATTTGTATGTCCTTTTAAATACAAATTTCCAACTAGATCTGATTTTTCCGTGGTTCAGATTAAATAAACAATTTACATTTTATTAGTGTGTGGGTATGTTTTAATTAGCATATTCTCTTATCCAAAGCAATGTACAACTGAGAACGTAGGGTCAGCCAGCACTAAGAGTAATTGGGGTTAAGGGCCTTGCTCAAGGGTCCAAGTGTGAAAATCCACTTGGATTGCCCACAGGATTTGAACCAGCAACCTTCTGATCAGTCCTAAATAGGGTTGCAAAGAGGTGGACAATTTCTGGAAACTTTCCATAAACTTTCCATTCCATGGGAAGTTAAGCTGGGGAATTTTGGAAATATTCCAAGTTGGAAACTTTCCAGGGGAATTAACCGGAATATATGGGAATTAACAGGAAAATTAATTTTGCAACCCTAGTCCTAACCCACTGACCCACACACCAAGCTTAGGAAAGCATAAGATGACCAAATTTTAATTTAACTGCAAAAACTAACTGATTCAGATGAGCAGGTAACGGTCAACTCAGCACATTTAAAGCTGGTTCAAAGCTAGCCAGTTTCACTTGCCCAGAAACATTAAGTGATTACCACAGGGGATTCTAGTAATTAGTGTTGTTTCAGTAGGTGTTTGGAATACAGGAGCATCACCTGTACCAAGAGGCACCTTAGTTATACTGACTTTTAAGTTCACTATGGTGAGAAAGGTCTCAGATATACGTGCAGCATGTGACTGTTTTATGATAACATTCCATTTGCAGGTGGGGGGGGGGGGTCTCAGTGTCTGGTTTTCATTATCCATCAAATTAACATAAGTACCTCATATTTCCTCAAACAAAGGCCTTTCTTTTGGAGCTGCTGTTGAGCAAACCAGTGTTCATAACAGAAAAAAAAGCACCAACGTCAAACACTTACAGTTCATGTCTCCCGTAGTTTTCCGAATGCAGTCTATTGGTTTAAAAACTAGCTAGACTGACTAAAAGACAAACTCAAAACAGAATGTAAAACTTTAAACCGTTCAGGTCACCTTAATCTTTACTGAATCACAGTGGGATGTGCAACAAAAAATGTAAACTGGAATATTCCAGCACCGATGTGAAAGTCGAGTGGCTGATGCTAAACTAAATATTTCAGTCGGGGAGGAGAGGAAAAAGATTGAAGAAGGCATGATTTTTATTACGCTTCAGGGTATGAGCAACAGATGCGTTTAAAGAACTCTGGGATCTTGCAGACACCTGAACCTCAGACCGACAGCATAATGCAACACAGGCAAGCCTGCCAGATCTGTTCCGGAGCTTTCCAGCACTGCCTGTCAGTGCAGTAGAAATAAAACCTCCGACAGGGCTTCTCAGGACAAAAATGCCCTGGACACTGTAACATGAAAATACAGAGTGTGTGTTTTTTCTTACCTTTGACTGAAAGACCTCCCCTTTATCGAAACTGTCGGCAGGGGATGTTTACAGGGGGTCAGGGAGAGCCCGGGCCATGTGGGATCTGTAACATTCCGGTAACGGAGTTGGGACATGTCCGGCTGCCCCGGCTGCTCTGTCTGTCAGGCTCGTCCTCGTTCAGCCTGGTTCTCAAGGTGTCCCGGCGTCCCTAAAAGCAAGCGGGGGGGATTCCGGCAAATAAAAAGAGGTCACTGACAATGGCTGTATAACTGCCCGGTTTGGTGCTTATTTACTGCTGTAACTTATTCCTGGAGCTTCTCGTAATTCTTTCGGTCTCCGGTTCAAAAATCCAGCCCAGTAACATTATAATAAATATGAACGACCTGGACATACTGCTCATACAGCCTATAATCCCAGTGTCTTGCTCAGAGCCATAACCAGGATTTTTTCCTGGGTGTGGCCTGCAATGGATTGTGGTTATTGGACCTGCAGAAATACTTGCCCTCGATGGCAGACACGGGCATGGTCTTACTAACACTGATCTGGAGTAGGGCGCCTCCGATGTTTCTGCTTAGCTGCTCTGTCGATGACTTCCTCTTGAGGGACTTCAGGTTGGATTCTGTTAGACTTCCCCCAGGTTCTGTTGTTCTTTATCAGCCTTATTTGGGACAACAAGTGATAAACTGATAAACACTAGGAGTGAAATTCACTGAAAATTCTGGGATGATGGGTAAATATCTTACCGCACGAGGATGTACTGTAGATGGGCTACTGTAGTTTCTTGTTACTGTGTGTTAAGTGTTTCCCAACCCGGTCCTCGGAACCCACACCTGGTCCATGGTTTTGCTCCCTCTCAGCTCCCTGCCAGACAGTCCACATTTTTGCTCCCTCCCAGCTCCCTGCCAGACAGTGCACATGTTTGCTCCCTTCTGGGAGCTGAGAGGGTGCAAAAAACTTGGACTGTCTCTGGGTCCCCGAAGACTGGATTGGAAAACACTGTCCTATATTGTAGTTCTGTAACAAACCACCTCTATTCTCAGATCAAAGACAGTTTGTTGAGACTGTTTGTCTCCAACACAAACAGCATGTGCACCTTCTCGGTCCAGATGCACTGCCTTCCCTGCCACACTTCTCATGATAGCAGATGGCCAGCAGATGCATGGAAATTCTCCATTTCTGTTCTCCACATTATGTGCAAGTTTGCACAAATCACTACAAAACCTTGCACAAATTAGATGGAAAGTGTGAGCTTGCATCTCAAACCCACTCGTGCTGCCAAGCTCAGACCTTCTCCCACCTTCAAGCTGTTAATAAAATCATGGAAAATCCTTTCTTTCAGATTCCAAAGTAAGTCCTTCAAGGAAGATTCCTACAGGAACCTTAAGTGACACATTTTAAAAGCCAGACAAAAACTAGCCAACAAAATCCTGATTCTGATTGCTGAAATTAATGGAATGAAACCATAATTTGGGAATGGAGGGAGACTCAGGTTTGAGAGGTGAGCTACTAAACTCAAAATCAGGGACACCAGGGGTAAATTGACACCACCACCAACACTTTCTCATTAGCATGGTAACTCAAAGAGTATTTGATGGATTTTTTTCAAAATGTGCAGACACATTGTACGTCCGACGATCTGGAAATTTTGAGACAGATTACACAAAAACTAAAGCAATGCCACGTGGTTATAACACAGAAAATAACAATTTCAGACACTTGATCTTATCAGCATGATAACTCCAAAAGTATTTGACAGCATTTTTTTCAAACTTAGCAGACACACTATATGGGTGAGCATCGGGGCCTGATCAAATTTTGAGGCAAACAACACAAAAACTGAAGCAACACGGCTTAGTAGCACCAAAGAAAAGGGTGACCACAGAAGATATCTGATCATGTGAACATAATTCGAAAAGTACATAATATTCTTATGGTCTTGGCTAAGGCTTTATTAACACTTCACAATAAATCATATAAACTTATCAGTAGCAAAGTGAGCTAGCCAGCATTCTTGGGCTATAACCAGGTGTGAAACTGTGGAATTTTTATCGCCAATTGGGCTAGTTCAGGCAAAAAAACATTTAAATCAGCCCACAATGTCATTTTCAAGGATAAAGAGCAACCAAACGCCATCACATCTTACAATAATAAATTACCATGCAAAGTTATTTTCAGTATCTCATAATAATTTCTATAATTTACTCATTCAAAGCATTCAAACACTGTCAATAGATAGCCAATTCCTACCTGTGATCCAATTATCAAGAAATCTTACGAGTCTCGCATTCTTCTGTTTTTTTTCAAGTCTACATTAGGATGCTTCCAAGATGCATTAAATCTAGTTTTCTCCCATTTCTTTTTGATCCAGCTTCCCGACGTCTCTCCTAATTTTTTGCTCTGGAAATGGAGAATTACAACCGTGAAGCTATTTTTTCAGTCGCAATCTGTCACCAGCACTGGGGTTTAATCGTCCGGTTAATTGCATATGCAATCATTTTGCAATAACATCCAAAAAGATTTTATAATCTATGTGTAGAAATGTCTTAATTATAAACAGAAACAATATGCATGCATTGACTTCTCCATGCGACAGCATTAAGAGGATATTTTAGCTGTGAATTCTGGGATTCTATGCAACGTCATGACCGAAGCTCTCGCGTTGTTTAAGACTGGGAAGGAATGCCATAGGTCCCATTTTTGCATCAAAACACCGCATGTGTTTCACACAGTCAAAGACAATAATTTGGGAAAGGCAGCCTGGGCCTGTCATCATGTATGGAATTCTCAAAATGGCTGTTAAAACATCGAAGTTAAATCATTTGCGACTCATTCGGATTCATTTGGGTCTTCATCCCAAGCCCAGTCACATGCCTGATGGCACCAAATGACAGAAAGGGTGGCTGCAGGAGACACGTGACCTTGTGAAGTCAGTATATCTAAGTGTTCTGTAGAATCTTTTTCAAACTTCTCAGGAACTTTATTCTGGTCAGTTGTGGAAGGCGGGGGAGGATAACAAGATGATTTTCTTAATATGCAAAAAATATATTTATCAAATTACCTGGAATAGCATTACTTTTGAAAATGCCATAAAAATAATATACTGCGGTATGATGTATGGACAGTATGACCGTATGAAAAATTAGACCCCAACCCAAGCTTAGCGGGGAGGTGGGCTAGAGAGAGAGGTCGGGGTTTTTGAGGGGTAGGGATTAGATGGGGGGGGGGGGGGGGGGGGGGGGGGGGGGGGGGGGGGGGGGGGGGGGGGGGGGCGGTGACAGAGCTTTCCAAAGAATACATTTCCAACTTCCTGTTTCATTGAAGAATAAAAGTGTACTTTCACTGCTGAAGGCCATCTTGATGTTGCCTCTGTCCAGGCCTGTAGCTCTGTAGTTGATCACGGTGCCAAAGTCCTTAAGCTGGTGTTGACCCCCTTTTGTCCTGGAGGAAAACGCGTAGCTCAGCCACTTTCGGGCAGAAAAGGGCCACAGGAACACAGCGACTGAAGCATAAAGGACAAAGACCTGGGCTGTAAGGTCATTTTAGATCTTTTAAGTTGAGGAGAAGGAACAGCAGTACGTTTTTATCTCTTGTTGGGTGTGTGTGCACACATGAGCAACACCATGAGCTGAGGGGATGGGAACTTCATGCACAGCCAAGACAAATTTGGGAAACAGATACAGCAG